CTAGCCACTTGAGCCACAGCACCACTTGCAGCTTTTTCTGTTTATGTGGTGCTGAGGAATCGAACCCAGGGCCTCATGCATACAAGGCAAGCACTCTACCACTGAGCCACCTTCCCAGCCCTAGGTTTGTGATCTTTTAAGTTTGTAAATTTTTTGCGGGGGGTGGGGGTGGTCCGGTTGTGGGGCCTGAACTCTGGGCGCTGTCCCTCAGCTCTTCACCTCAAGGCTGATGCTCTACTACTTGAGCCACAGCACCACTTCCGACTTTTTTTCTGTTTGCTTATGTGGTGCTGGGGAATCAAACCCAGGGCCTCATGCATGCAAGGCAAGCTCTCTACCACTGAGCCACCTTCCCAGCCCCGTAATTTTTTTTTTTTTAATGCTGGACCTGGGTTTTGAACTTAAGGCCTGATGTTGTCCCTGAGTTTTTTTTTTTTTTTGCACAAGGCTAGCACTCTACCACTTGAGCTACAGCTCCACTTCTGGCATTATTTATTAGGGTGGAAGTTTTGAATAATAGGAACTGAGATTATGGGAAAGTCTGGGTTTACTTAGGGCTAAAATTCCTTGTCTGTTGACATCTCTTCTGTTTTTCCACAGGGTAACAAGAAGGGCCCCTTAGGCCACTGGGACTTTGATACCCAGGAGGAATACAGCGAGTATATGAACAATAAGGAAGCTTTGCCCAAGTGAGTTGGTACTAGAAGCCACTTCTTAGAGTGTATGGTTTCGCTGAGCTATTTTCAGAGAAGTACTTTGCCCACAGAACCCTCTGAAAACCTTGCTACTGCTATGCAACTTCTAATGCCTTCTTCCTTCAATGGACATTTTCAGGGCTGCATTCCAGTATGGTATCAAGATGTCTGAAGGACGGAAAACCAGGAGATTTAAAGAAACCAATGACAAAGCAGAGCTTGATCGGCAGTGGAAGAAGATCAGTGCAGTAAGTGGACTTTCTGGTGGAAGGGTTTCAGCTGGAGGACAAACACTGGCCCACAGATGCAGAAACCAAGGAAGTGTGAGGTCAGCTTTGGACCTCAGGTGGGCTTAAACTAGCACTATTCATTTTACAGATCATTGAGAAGAGGAAGAAGATGGAAGCTGATGGGTAAACAGCATTATTTTTCTTCTGTGGGACTGGTGGGAATTGCTCAGTTGTTGGTTATGCTGACTTGTTTCTCCTTCCATTGCAGGGTTGAAGTGAAGAGACCCAAATACTAATCTTTAGTTCCAACTGAAAAATTTCCACATGGGTATTCTCTCTACTTTCTATAATTCCTAGAAAGGTTGTAAGGTGGTATTTGTTGTTTTATTTGCAAATGTGTATAAAGTTTTATTGCATAAACATCTGATTCCATTAAAATTGGTAGCCAGTCTTGTCTTGAGCATCCCTCTAGAACAGAAAGAAGCATATTTTACTAATTGTATAAAATTAGAAGTAGAAAGTTACATTTTGTTTACTAGCCAGTGTGCTCAGTGGAGGGAGAAGAATGACTTCCTGAGAGAAGAGTATTAGGTTTAGGTAGGCAGATGTAAAGATGAGTTGTCTTAATTATCAGACTCATTCAGTTTTATATGAGGTTAGTCCTAGAGCAGAGTTCCTAAGATTGTCATGGTCTAAAACTGTGGACTAAAATGTGTATGGGACTTCACTCTTGATGAAAGCATCTAATAAAAATCACATATGGGAATAAAAACTTTTATCCCCTCCTGAGAGTTTCAGTAATGCTTTCTCCTAGGATGAAAAAATCTGGTGGAAATGCCTTGAGGCTGAAACTTGTGTACCCAGGCCATACAATCCAAGAATCCCCCTCCTATGCCAAAACGACTTAGTGCCTTTCATCCTCCTGAAAAGTTTGCTCAGGATCAGGGTGGACCTACTCCCCATACCATTCTGTCTCTTTTCTCCTTTCTTGCTTTCTGCTCACTGTCAGTACTTTGGTATTTATTATTAGGAGTCAGCACTTCATTTAGATTAAATGTCCCCATGTCAATGTGTACTATGAGTCTAAGACCTCAGGTTCACCAGATCCAAGAAAAGCTAGAAAGTCCCTAAGCATAGCCATTATCCTTGATCATTTTTTCCCTGATAGAAAAGTGCTTTTTTTGTTCATTTTTGCAGTGCCAAGCATCCAACCCAGAGCTTTATGTATATCAAACATGACATGCCCTCTACAACTGAGCTAAACCCACAATCCCTAGAAAAGGGCTTTCTGAAGAAGCTGATTTTATCAGTGACATTTAAAGGCTAAACTTGGGCCCTTTCTGTGACAGCACTTGGAATAACTAATTTCAGACTTGACATCACGGGTCTCATGGCTGTAGGCTGAACTCCTAATTAGGTAAAAGGCCATGAACTGGAGGTTGACTGCCAGTTTGAAATTCAATTTATGCAAATACCACCCAACCTCGGGGGATAAAAGCTCTAGTGCTGGTGCTGGTGGCTCATGCCTGTAATTCTAGTTACTCAGGAGGCTTAGATCTGAGGATCTTGTTCAAAGCCAGCCCAGGCAGGAAAGTCCATGAGACTCTGACCTTCAATTAACTTCCTGAAAACCAGAAGTGGTGCTCAAAGTGTAAAGTGCTGGCCTTGAGGGGAGAAAGCTCAGAGACAGTGCCTAGGCCCTGAGTTCAAGCCCTGAAACTGGGCGGAGTGGGGCGGAGGGGCAGAGCCCTCCCCAGTTAGCCAGCAAATTAGACATAACTTCCTGCTTGAAGCCCCCTAACCTCACTTTTCCCTCCTCAAGCATGTTAGGCATCAGCATATAAGAGGATTTAGAAAGTTCTAGCTGGATGGCAGTGGCTCACACCTGCAAGTGTAGCTCCTTAGGAAGCTGAGATCTGAGGATCAAGATTCCAAGCCAGCCTGTGCAAGAAAGTGCATGAGGCTCTTACCTACAATTAATCACCAAAATGATCCCAGAAGGAGCTGTGACTCAAACAGTAGAATGCTAGTCTTCAGTGAAGAAGCTAAGGGACAGTGCCCAGGCCCTGAGTTCAAGCCCCAGTGCCAGCACAAAAAGTTAAGATCAGCAGCTATGAACAAGTTCTTTTCAGCTATGAGACACCTGCTCCCTGTGTTGGTCCCACTCTGCAGAGTGTTCCTATCATGAACTTTGGTAACCATAAGTCCAGAACATCATCTATGTCATGCCTTTTTCCTCTTCACAGGCCTGCTAAGGGGTGGAACAAAACCATATGAAAGGGCAGTAGCACACTGTTCTTTTAGCCTTGAAGGAGGAGTTTGAATTGATCCTGTTCATGGGCTGCTTTCTGTTCTTAATGTCCGTATGGTCATCTTTGGGTGCTATGGGCTTTGTTGCTTCTTGAGTACTCTTGCCTGCTGCTTGCTATGTTTTTGGGCCTCAGTAAGCCAGGTATGACTGGCCTCTCTCTTTCCTATCAACAGGTCCTTCCCTGGTCTAAGACTTGAATTTAGGGCCTCACTGGTTAACTAGACTCAGACTTTTCTTTTTTGGCTAGTTTTATTTTTTATTTTTATTTTTTTTTTCAAGCACAAATAAACCAACTTTAATAGATATTATTTCGTATTTATATAGCGCCTTCTTCAAGAATCTTAAATGCTTTACAGACATTATTTTGGCTAGTTTTAAACTTCCATCCTCTGATCTCAGGCTTCAGAGTAGATAGGATTGCAGGATTACAGGTGAGAATCAAAGAACCTGGCACATTTACGTATTTATTTTTTTATTTTTAGGTATTTTATTTTTACGTATTTATTTTCGTATTTATTTTTTTACCAATAAAAAAATCCATATGTGGGGGCTGGGAATGTGGTTTAGTGGTAGAATTGCTTGCCTTACATGCATGAAGCCCTGGGTTCAATTCCACAGTACCACATAAACAGAAAAAGCCAGAAGTGGTGCTGTGGTTTTAGTGGTAGAGCGCTGGCCTTGAGCACAAGAAGCTCAGGGACAGTGCCCAGGCCCTGAGTGCAAGCCCCAGGAATTGCAAAAATAAATAAAAAATTAAAAATCCATGTGCTGGGGCTGTGAAAGTGGCTCAGTGGTAGAGCGCTTGCCTTGCATGCATGAGGCCCTGGGTTCGATTCCTCAGCACCACATAAGCAAAGAGAAAAAAGCCGGAAGTGGCGCTGTGGCTCAAGTGGTAGAGCACTAGTCTTGCGCTGAAGAGCTGAGGGACAACGCCCAGGCCTAGAGTTCAGGCCCCATGACCGGACCCCCCCCCCCAAAAAAAAAATCCATGTGTTGAATGTCAGTGGCCCATGCCTGTAATCCTAGCAACTCTGGAGGCTGAGCTCTGAGGATCACAGTTCAAAGCCAGTCCGGGAAGAAAAGTCCACGGGAGTCTAATCTCCAGTTAATCACCAGAAAACTGGAAGTGGCACTGTGGCTCAAAGTGGTAAAATGCTTGCCTTGAGCAAAAAAGGTCAGGGACAGCACCCAGGCCCCGAGTTCAAGCCCCTAGACTGGCAAGCCCCCCCCCCCCCAAAAAAAAATAAAACCCAACAACTTGTTTCTGTTTTCTGGGATTCATTTTGAAAAAGAGTATTTTAAATGTTCAGAGGAGTTATGCCTTTACTCTTTTTTTTTTTCCTGTGGTGCCGGCCCTGGGGTTTGAACTGAGAGCCTGGGCACTTTTTTGGTAGTTTATAGAGTCTCACAGAATTTCCTCCCTGGCCTGGCTTCCAGCTGCGATGCTCAGATCTCAGCCTCCGGAGTAGCTGGGACTGCAGACGTGAGTCACCGGCGCGGCCTACACTAACTCTTCAGCTCCTCCGCTCGTTAGGAAGGGGCGGAATACGTGGAAAGGGTTCGCAGGCCGTGTCCAGCTTTCCGTGAAGTGATTACAGGGAGCATCTCACAGCGTGAAGTGACTTGGGAGGGCACACAGCCTCTGCGGCCAAGCACCCGCAGGGGGAGGGTGTGTGGGGAGTAGCCTCCCAGCTCTGTGCCTGGGCTGTGGATCCTCCTCTTCCGACAAACGCGCTCCGGCGCACTTCCGGCCCCGCCCCCGGCACGCAAGCCCGGTCTCAGACCTCACTTCTAGTGGTGCGACCGTTTCCTGCGCGGACGGCGGGGACTCCATCCCGGAGCATGGACTGCACGTGTGAGGAGAGGCTCACGGAGGAGGGGAGTGACGAGGACCCTGGCTCTGCGGAAGCCCCGGTCCGGATCCGCGACACGCCGGAAGACATTGCCCTGGAAGCTCCCGCCAGTGGGCTGGCGTTCCATCCGACCCGAGACCTGCTGGCGGCCGGGGACGTGGACGGGGACGTGTTCCTGTGAGTGAGGTGCGGGGCAGGGCTGCCAGGTCTGGAAGCTCCTCAGAGAGTTTGCTGGGACCGGGCGAGAGAATCGAATTTTGCAAGTTTCATCTGGTGCGATTCATTCAATAACATTCACATTTAAACAAGTTATATAAAAGAAGTTGCATAAAGAATCGGAAGATAAAGAAGCCAGCGTGTCGTGACTGTGCCCAGACACGTAGCAGGGCAAAAGGCATTTGCAGCCCTGTTATGTACCACCAATTATATTGAACCTCAGAGGCTAAGCGTCCCCTTTGATCTTTACTCCCTTGGTTAAAATCGAGCACTGGTGGCTCACGCCTGTAATCCTAGCTACTTAGGAGGCTGAGATCAGAGGATCGCGGTTCAAAGCCAGCCCGGGCAGGAAAGTCCGTGAGACTCTTATCTCTAATAAACCACTAGAAAACCGGAAGTGGCGTTGTGGCTATAGTGGTAGAGTGTTAATCTTGAGCTGAAGAGTTCAGAAACAGCAGCAGCTAGGTCCTAGAGTTAAAGCCCCACGAGGGACAACCAACCAATCAGTCTATCAATGATGGCAGTGAATAGTCTGCTTTGGGCTGGTCGCTGTCCCTTTGCTTTTTCACCCAAGGCTGGCGCTCCACCACTTGAACCATAGCTCTATTTTCAGATTTTTGGTGGTTTAATTGGAAATAGGAGTCTCACAGACTTTGCTGCCTTTGCTTGCTTTGACCTTGGGTCTCAGATTTCAGCCTCCTGAGTAGCTAGGATTTCCAAACACTAAGCTTCAGGATTTTAAATAAACTCTTTAATCTGATTTTCAAGGCCCTTTCTACCAGGCCTTTCTTTGCATGCTCTTCTTTATGCTTTCTGTGCCCATGATCCTCACTATATCCATCTCCTCCCTCCCTCCCTTCCTTCCTTCCTCCCTTCCCTCCGGTCAGTTGTGGGGCTTGAATTCAGGCTGGCCGCTGTCCTTGAGTCTCTTGGGAACTTTTTTGCCCAAGCTGGCTTGGAACCTCAATCCACAGATCTCAGCCTCCCGAGTGGCTAGGATTACTGGTGTGTGCCATCACTTTTCCTATGTATTTTGAAGCCAAAGCTCCTTTGCACATTGTTGTTTCTTATGCTTGAACAATTCCTTTCCCTCATTTTTACCTTCCATCTACGAATTTTCAGCATCTCTTCTTCCGTTACTTAAATTAGGTAACTATTAGATGCCACTATGATACCAAGTGCCATGGTACTTTTCCCATATAAACCTTAAAACTAGGAGCTGGGAAGGTGGCTCAGTGGTAGAGCGCTTGCCTTGCATGTCTGAGGCCCTGGGTTCGATTCCTCAGCACCACATCAGCAAAAAGAAAAAAGCCGGAAGTGGCGCTGTGGCTCAAGTGGTAGAGCGCTAGCCTTGAGCTGAAGAGCTGAGGGACAGCGCCCAGGCCCAGAGTTCAGGCCCTATGACCAACCCCCCCCCAAAAAAAACAAACAAACAAAACAACTATAAATCTGCTTATTTGAATGCTTGTCTCCACCAAATAAGTGTGTGTGTTATGTTTGGTACACTAATTTCTTCCTGCTGATTCTCCTCTTCCTTCTCTTTCCTCCTCCTTCTCTTCCTCCTTTTTTTGTGGTACTGAGGTTTGAACTCAGCCTGGCACTTGTTAGACAGTTGAGCCATGCCCCCATCCCTTGTTCTGTCATTATTTACAAACAGAATGCTCATTGTAGCTCCCTAGTAGGTTATGACAGGAATTGCAAAAAATAGTA